GGTCAACGAAGGTAACCCTTTTCTACCCTCTTCCCTTTCGGTGAAAGAAAATATGGACATAAATAAAATTTGATGTTGATTAGATTGACATTAGAGAGCAATAAAAATTTTCTTGCCAAGTGCAAGAAAGTGCCACTTTTTGCACTCTAAACCATTGACATACGAGTCATTTTGTTATTGTAGAAAAAAATGTGTTTTGTAAATAGGTTTTATTAGTTATGCCATTTAAAATAATCTTATTACTTTTTGTACTTTAGGTAACAAAAATGGTGGAATTTTTTTAAAAAGGATGACATACCAAATACAGGGTCAACTACATATACACAAAGGCAACGCTACTGTTTTATACTTTATACAGAAATCGATTTGGAGAATTGTATAATAGAAAACGACGACGAATGTTGGTCTAAATACATATATGGAAACATATATCTGGATTTTTTTTTTAATACAATGCTTCCAGAAATAATTGATCCTCGTTAGAGTCGGGACGAATTGGTTCGCGATATTAAAAAAAAAGACACTTTTACCCTGAATTTAGACGAACATGTTACTACATATTTTTATTTATTTTGCAATATGCCTATTTCATTGAGGTTTCTGAGAGGCTACCAATTTTTGTAACTATTTAAAGTATGTACTTCAGTTCTCATCCAATAAGACAATAATAAAATTGTTTCTCTTTCTGGAGGTGGTAGTAATATAGTAACTACGTGGTATAACAATTGCTGAAACAGCGTCTGCGTAAAATAATAGAAATATATTTTTATATAAGGTATCAAATTTTGTTGGGTTTGTTAATTTATAAAGATTAAAATATGATCTTTAGTAAATTTTGACAATTTCATTTAGATATTTCGTAGGTGTAGCTGTGCTCAATATGACGTTTCTTCTGTTTTTTTCTTCTTTCTTATTTTTATTGAGTTTTGCTCTTCGAAAGCTGCTTTTCATATTTTTTCAACTTTTCTGTACTACCATTATCAGTTTTTATTTATTTATTTATTTATTTATTTATTTATTTATTTATTTATTTATTGGACTCAGTTGTACACTACAGGTGAAATGCATGTTATAATTACTAAGTACATAGTCAGATAAAGTTTGTGTAGGATTATAAGAATTTTCAGGACTCCCAGAGTTGATTCGTTTTACAGCCCTTTTCGAACAGCAGCTTTTCCAAGAAATTTGTACCTGCTTGTTAGACTGCCCGGTGTGGAGCGAACTTGGGGGCAGTAAACATCTGTTTTCCCCTGACAAGGCTGTAAAACGAATTAACTTTGGGAGTCCATAAAATTCTTATAATCCTATACAAACTTTAGGCTTCTTCCATTTTTGTTTCTTTTCATTCGTTGTGGATTTCCGCTGCAATAACTTCGCTTGCAGTTTTTCTTATTTTCAATTTTTAATAAAATGCAATCAAAATATTGCAGTAGCTGATGAAAAATTACTTAGTGATATTAATATTTGCAGCAAAATTGTGTTTAAAATAAAGATTAAATTTAGAAGATGAGGATTAAGGGCCAGATGTTATTCGTTCCTAACCAACTATCGTATTAGAGTACACCCGCTGAGAACGAAAACGTTATTTCTGACATTGGGTAGGTGAGGTTCTGCTATTACATGCAGTCTTCAAAGTGTGCCGAAATAAGACCAAAACGCAGTACATAGTAGTTGGCAAATTCACAGGATTAACGTTCTAATTGAATTAACGGCTTTCGTTTAAAAAATAAAAATTAAAAAAAAAACAGTTTTTCTGTTTAAGCGAAAACTATAAGGTATTTTGGCACCTAAAATAGCTTACGTCCTCTTGTCAATGAGTATTTTGATTTATGAGGAAGATGTCCACTATTGAGAGATTAGGTACATTTTATTGCCTCTACCGAGAAAATATGCAAATGAGATGACCCTCGTTATCATCACAAAGAGTCTACCTATCGGTTATGGAATCAATTGTAAAACTACAATACTGTTTGAAAAAAAACAACCATGTGTATATCAATATATCTTAAATCAAAAATGATAAACTGTATTTTTCGTTTTTATTTATTATTTTGCTTACAAAGAGTTCTGTTTTTTTTATAACATGCAAAAGTTATACAATGAAATAACATTTAAATTATTAATAATTGAAAGGAACTCTTGTCCATGTCAATTATACTATAGAATATTCCTAAAGTGGTCGTAAATTTTGATAAAAAAATTGTATTATACTCTTAAGTATCTTACCGATAAGTCTACTACCTGCAGTATACCTAATCTATAATTCGTGCGAGTATTCCACCTCATTAGCTTTCCCTAATTTAGCTTTGTATAAACCGATGTGGTCGTTGAGTGTTCCATGAACTGGCTTTAGAAATGTAAATCAAGAGATTCCCTGTCAGCCTATCCCTGTCCCTGTCCCTGTCAGCCTATCAGGTAAATCAGAAATATCAAATATCCAAATTACGGGGAGAGGGGAGAAGGGGCGAGAAAGAAAATTTTGTGATTGGTTGTTATTTTCATCTGAGCAGTCAGTGGCGGCTCGTGACTGTCGGATGTGGTGAGGCGATGATAGAAGTTTGACAATAATATTAATACATATTACTTGGTCTTACTAGTTAGTAATAATAGTCTTGCCCGAATACCGGTCATTTCCGGGTCAGTGGTAGGTCCTAATAATAATAATAATATTAATAATCACACATTTAATCAACAATGTTTTTACAAGTCAAAATTTGGTTTAAACTAGCACTTTCTTGGAGGGATTCGGGAATAGTTGTTGTGTTCCTTTCTAAACGTTTTAGGTCCATTAAATTTTTAATGTGTACTTCGGACTTCGGATGAAATTATTTAAATCGTTATATCCCGGGACGTCGTATAAATATTACGGCAGAGCCATTTATATGTTTCGTACCAAGTTGATTTAAAAAACTTGGAGTACTGACGATTCTGTCGCTTATGAATGGAAGTTAAATGAACTAAAGGTTTTGACTGCTCGACATTTCGCAAAATTTGCCGACGTTCTAGCTCGGTTCGCCGTGAAAACGATGTTTCAAGAAGGAACATGACGATGTAGTACTCGGGATTCATTTTTCACTCACCTGTACCTATGAAAGAGACAAAAATACGAAACATCAACATATGGGCTTTTATTCACGTTCATGCTAATTACCCACGCACCCCGCAACCCTTCCGTTCTGTAAAATAAATGGGAAAATGGTTTAATGAGTACGCCGAAAATGACCGAGAAGCACCGAAGATATCGCCTCAGTTCCGAGCGAACGCACATAGAGGAGTATAGGAGCTGAGCCATAGAAATCCGTGTCTGTGATTGGGCTTCGTTGGTTCAAGTGAACCGACGTTCTGGCCGCTTCAGTTAAAGAGCTAGGGGCATAAATCGTACGGTATTCAACCGAAAATGTCAGCAGAAAGCGTAAAAAATAAATAATCATCTACAGATTTGCCATTTCAACATATCTTTGTAACTAAAAATGCATTGAAAGCTCTTTTTTAATTACACATTAAGTCAATCTGTTCTTAAGATATATGCTGTGAGGCGCCGCCTCACTTGCCTCATCTGACGAGCCGCCACTGTGAGCAGTATAAATGCATTTGGACTGTCTTCTGTCGACATTTCAGTTCTGTGTGGCAGTTTAGTTAGACGAATAACTGACTTCTTTTTTCTTGTGTAGTTGTGTTTTAAGTGGATAAGGTAGTGTAGCAAATTAGATTTTAGAAGATTGGTAAACAGCTGGTAAGTTTTAGGTATCTTTTAGACAGGTTTTAGACATTACTTCTATACATGATTAATTTTATTAAATATCCTTCTTGTAATAATGGGTCTTCTTAACAACGTATCATCGAGTTTATCAGTCATTTTTAGATCAGCCTGTATATCTGTATGTCTATTTATATAATTTGTAAATATACATATACTTCTTAATTTTACAACTTTGGCTTTCATTTGGTAATTTTACAAATTTTATTTATTAAAAATAATAATATTTTTAAATAATCTGTCGATAATCATCTTTACGTTTTCGGTGACTAAAGTTATTAACAGAAATTGCATTTGCTGCCGTTTTTCAAGAAATGTTGAAAAGTGTGTAGATAGTGTGCCAAAGAATAAATGGTTTTATGATTTTGACTTCTTCAAGAAATATAACAAATAGCCGCTATGTAAGTTAGGGTTGGTGGCAAGGGTAGTGAAGGAGTCAAAGTTGTAAAACCATCATATTACTTGGCACACTATAAGATTATTCCAAACGGCCAACTCTTTTACTTACCAAGTTTTATTTGCTCTTCTCGCTATTTTATAATTCTATCTTATATTATGGGTCCCCGACAGGCAAAATATCTGTCAGCAAATTCAGTGATTCATAATTACAGATTTGCAAACTAAGCGTTGTCGTAAATTGCAGTTTTTTTATTACTAAAGACATCGTAATAACCAAATCATGAAATAGGGTACAAAAGTTTAAATACTAAACGGCAACTTCCTTAATCGTACGGAATGGCTTGGGGCTAAAAGGGCCAAAGTCAACTTGCTTAACTATTGTAAACTTTTCCAAAAATCGATAAAAGTGCGCCATTTGTAAGGGGGCAGTCGATAATCATGTTCCAAGCATTATTTCTGTATTACACTTATTAACAGGGCCGGGTTAAAAAGCTACTTTGAACATAGTGTAATCATTTTGTTGGGGCTCCGGTTATGTTGAACTCCGAATAAATAATGCGGAACATTGACGCTTAGCTGGTAATTTGAATATAATCAGAACTCGAAGTTTAGTTTTAAAGAATCTGCTAAAAATAAACGGAGGAAAAAACAGATAATATAAGATTAAACAATCTATAGTAGTAATATAAGGTTATCAAATGTGCGCTAATCTGTTTGATTTCTAAAGCACCTACATTCGCAATTCGAAAAACTGCGTATTACAATTGTAGTGAATCAAGAATTTTGTGCAAACGAAAGTTTGTAGTGCGATAATATCATAACAAAGCCGTTTATTTCCTTTCAGATAACCTTTGGTAACTTGTCTTGAGTTTACGTCTTCATTTTCCCCCCTGATGTGAAGTCATTCGTTGTTAACGATAATGAAGGAAGAAATTTTAGCTGCCGTTATGTTCTTTATAAGGTTCATTGAGAAGAGTGATAAGTTCCCTCAAGACCAAATCGAAAATTTCAAAAAGCATTTAACCGAACTTCTCATGGAAAGGTAAGTGTTCAGATTTAACGTATAAAATGGAAGCATTTATGATGAACGTGTTTATTTTTAACACAATATGGCCGTGTGCATTAATCAACTCGAGTTACTTGGCTTGTTAGATATGTACATCGGTAGCTAATAGTGATAACGGTGCATACCGACGAACCTCGTAAACTTTCCTTGAAATAAAAGGAACTTTGGTTTGAATGATATGATTAGAGTACAATTCGTATAGTGTTGCTTTGTACTCATATAGACATTGTGCAATATCGGTCGGTTGTATACTTTGGAGTTAATATTTTAATGTAACATACGCAGGTGTTTTTATGTAAAATCAATAAATACTCCTGGGAACTGAAACAAATATTCATTTTACAGAAGGCTTATAAGTTTACCAATGTCTCCGTTTTGCATTAATTGTTCAATAAAGAGTGTAAAAATTAAATTCGTTAAACTATTCAACTTTGCAATTAAATCAAAATCAGTATGAGTGGAGGCCCAGTATGAAACAAAATTACTCTGTACTAATTTTCGTTTCGTTGATGTTAAGTTTTATTCGTAGGCAGTTAATAATTTAAGTCAGAATGGACACACAATGTAGACATCGCTGTAAATAAACAAAATTTTGCTTATAAAAGAAAAGTTTTAAAACATACACTAATGCACAATTTATGACAAAATAAATTCAGGGAAATATTTTTAAATGAAATATTTCATTGTTCTCCCATGTCTCTTAATACTAATAGTAAACATAAAATTAGATTTAAGCAAATAAGTTGCCTTAATCGTAGAAGGAGCATAGTGATATTTATTAAAATGAAATTTTCATATTTTTAAAATTAGTGTTCAAATTTCATTTCAATTTTTTGGCGTTGTTTGCATTTAGAACTGAACTATTTTTAAATAAAGTTGATTCTAATATTTCTTCAATTATAATTTTCCTACTTGAAAGTTGAGTGTTTCATAATTATTTAAATAATTACGAACAAAATTTGTAAGTGTTTCAAATTTACAAAACGCAGGCATATTGAGAAATAATTTTATTTAATATTTATAGACTGACCTTGAGCTTTATTGCTTCCACGAATCCAGTCGCCTATTATTGTTTTTGTGAGTACTTATCCAACAGTGATTGAAAAGGTTCCTACTCAATTTAGAACTAGCTCCAAATTTGAAAGAAGGAATCGAACAATAATGCATTAAAATTAGATCGTAAAAACTTAATTTCAAAGGTAAATTTATAAATACCAAATTTTTATAAGCAGATACCTACAGAGTGACAAAAGTTCTATGATAAATTTTGCATCCAATAAGCTGGATTATTCGTTGACACAGCTACTGAAGGAGTCAAAATCGTAAAACCACTATGCCTCTTGTGCCACAACATGTGAATTTATAAATTATACCCCATTTACATTTTGATCACACTACTCGTCGTGTGATTACAACATAAGATAAACACTGTAAAGAAAGTTGCTTTCATTTGTGCAACTGGTACAGATCTTAACAATCGAGTCATTGTAGAATGAATAAATTGTCGCTCTTTCTTTTCCAGAATTAGTGTTTTTTAAATAAACTATTTATGTTTGTAGTACTGTAACTTAACTTGCGTTTTTTTTTTCCAGATTTGAGAAGCATTGGTTTCCGGAACTTCCAACCAGGGGTCAAGCTTATAGATGCATCCGCATTAATGGCATCAGCCCTATAGATCTAACCTTGGAACGTGCTGCAAGCAAATGTGGTTCTTCATACCACGATCTCCGATTGCCTACTGAACTCACAGTTTGGGTAGACCCAAGTGAAGTATGCTACAGGTAATATTTACCCCTAGTGTTACGGTTTCTGTTGTATTTACTGTTTTATTTTATTATCGACAGACTCGGCGAATCTGAAGGTTCGTACTGTACGTTAGCTACTTTCCCATCAGAGAACCGTTCTTCCTCATCCGAAAACTCGACACCGACAACTTCGCCCCCATCAACTCCCTTGCAGGATAAGTACCGTAAAGTACAAAGGCCACAGCACCAGAGGTATTCTACAGACTTTACCAATAAATACCGCAATCCTCCTAATATGTTCTTGTCGTCGTTAAGGGTGAAATCAACAAACGAGGTAAGTGCTCTTGTTGCTGAAATAGATACAAGTTAATATATTTTGTATTCATTAGGGTAATTTCAATTTTGGGTCCAATCGTCAAATATGCAGGGGTCCTTTTCCTGCAAATCCTACTTTCTATAAAAACATGAATATCAATAGGGCACACTACAAGAACGTATGTAGAGTGTAGTAGTTGTTCATTTTTCAAGATTAATGGTAGATGGTCATTGTTCATAATACAAACACATGTTGCCATCAACTCTCAAGAAAACAAAACTGTCAAAAGCGTACTGAAACTTTTTGAAACGAACTGGTGCTTGTTTTTGAAATTTACACTTTCTATATGTATAAGATTTCAGGTGCCTTCACATCGTGTATCTATGTATATTTTGTAATTCCTATTCATATATTTTTATGGAGTCTAAACTATAAGCAGTGGATCTTTAAATTTTTTTATCTTTAATTTTAAGTTGTTGCTGTGATAAATTTCTGTCATGACAGATTAAGCCATTTGCAATGTTTTGCACCCACCATTTTCTTAAATTTTTTTCCTTTCTTTTCCTTGATATCTAAATAGTTCTTCACTATAATGCATCATCAATTTGACAATAGATTTGCTTACTTATATTAAGTATGTATATTTGCGATTAGTTCCTTTAGTTTTACAACTGAGTTTAACAATGGGTGATACTTTTTCGAATCTACATTTTTATGGTGATTAGCTTTAATCTTAAAGAAATCTATAATTTTTCTCTACTAAGTCATGTGATTTATATGTACATAATTGTGACTGAATTTTTATCGTAATTGCCAAAAATTCTTCTATTGTTGTAATCTAACAAACAGTAGAACTACCTGATGAAAAATGACATGCTTATAGTTTGACGTTTTAAGTACAAATTGTTAAAATCGTCCTAAATGTGCATATTTTTCATTATTCTGTATCATTGTGTTGTCATCTTAATGTGTTTTCATGTATATAGATGTTTTAAGGTTGTAAAGAGATATGTAAATGTATTTTACCATACGATGTCAATAGTTGACAAAAACAGTACCCTAATGTTATAATCATATGTGATCATTTGACTTTCATCTATCGTTAATCCAATGAAAGTTTACTTGTTTTTAAACGAAACGCTTGAATTAAGGATTTGTACTTGTAATTTTTCGTACTATTTTATAAAGTTATTCATAGTTTTAAGTTCTCACTGTTTGTATATTGAGTATTTGGATGGTTCAGTTTTCCTTCACAATTGATTTGGGCTATAATGTACTACTCATTTATATCAATCTTAAATCGGGATCATTTTTCTATTTTAGTCGACATTGTGCAAGGTCCAATTTTTAGTATCCGATCGTTATGTAAATCTAATAATTTTATATATGTATAGTAGACGTATGTAACAATTTTTTTGATCATACATGTAGTACAGAATATGATGTGGTAATAAGGTATTAACGTCTTTAATTTAGTCTATTGCTTAATGTAATTCTGACTGATAATGGTACAAACTAGATTGTGATTGAAGCAGCGATGTTATTTGTGAAAATGGTTATGTTACTTAAATGACATTTTTTAAGAACGATTCTGTACAATACATAAATCATTGGTTTGGTTTTAAGGTTGATTAACATATGGATTATTTGAATATCAATATATTAAAAATGAAAACTAACAGGGTTCAGAAACATTTGGATTAGCAAAATGAAACCACCTCACTGTTTGTTGTTCTCAGTGTTATAATAGTTGTATATCTTTCTGTCTTGTCAGCAAGAGATAGTGTAGACTATTTATCATCTACTTGTTTCTGTCAATGGTTTCATTTTTTAATCTACCTGTACAGGTTTTTATTAGAATTTTAAAACGTGAATTTCTTAGAATTATGTACCAGAGTTTTGTACAGCAAGTGCAATTAAATCAAAAATTGTGATATTTTTCTGTATACAACTCCAAATTTTAACGTAAATTTTACAGTGTATATAATTCTCTGAAATGCATAAAATATTTCTTTGTAAAAATTGTATTTAGATTTTAGAAATAATGTAAAATATTGTGTAGCCATAGAAATATATTAATGTTAAACATTGCATTTAAATTGTGTTTTTTCTTTAATACCAAAAAAAGTTAATTAACTGGTTGACACAGTTGTAAAAGAAGTAAAGAAAAGCATAGTGCAAAAAGAGTTTAGCAAACAAAAAATATTTCAAGTTTTAAAATACAATTTTGAAGAATAAAATAAGTTAGCGGCCATAAAGACGATCAAACAGCGTTGAAAATTGATATATTTTCGTTGTTTATCATTTCGGAAGGGCATAACCCAAATGTCCCTCAAAAATTTGACAAGAGCACAAAATTTTAAAACCCGCGAAAAATTCAAAATTTGGATTTTTGACAAATTGGAACCTTACGTTGTGTGCTTTATATTTATACGAATGAGTAGCGAACCCTGATAAGGTTGGAAAAATGCCGTTAAATCAAAATGCAAAATAGGGAGCGCATTCTGAAGAGGAAGTCAGGAAACCAACTGCAAAAACCCTTTCCAGCTTTCAAAAATGAAATCAAATGTTACAAATCGATACAATTATTTGAACAACACAAATTTAAACACAACAATAAAAAGAAATCTTCATTAAAGTAGCTGGATGGTGTAATACTCAAGTTATTACGATGGTGTGGCGGCTGTCAAAAAATCAGCAAACGTGGTACGGTGAATGTTAACGAGAGCGGAATTTAAGTTCCTCGTCCTAACTACGACTGTTACCTTTCGTTGATAATTTTACTCTATTAACAGGTATAACACAACACACAGACCACACTCTGTACCTAAAAAACTGGCGCGTATTATACGTTCTACCTCGTTTTTGCAAAATAACCAGCTATTAGACCTAACCAGGCTGTGCGTTTGACATGAATGCGAGTTTCGAATGAAAAAAAAAAGTCAACTTTAGCTAGACGTTATCTTGTGTTATTTTTCAATAATGTTAACCAGCAAAGAGTCTGCATGATGTTAAATTACGCTTTAATTCAAGTTAATGATTAAATCAAAATTAAATCCACATAGGTATTACATAAAACAAAGCACACAGTAAATAAACACAACAAACTCAAGCTATGAAAAAATAATTCGGAAGAAGAAAAATAACACATTGAAATAATACTATATTCTAAAAGTGTCTTGTTTTTAAGACGTAATACACAACTTAGTTTTTTTAAATGAAACAACCAATATATAACTTTTACATACTTTGATTGACCTCCTCTTAGACTTTACAATCACAATTTATTTTTGAAATCACGATGCGACGCTGCCACGTTATTCCAAATTTCTGGTAATAGAAGGGTTCACACAATAAATCACAGTAGGGTTATTTTTAAAATCTGTGTTACAACAGAGACAAAAAAGGTACGCGCTCCATTGTGGTATAAATGAGATTAAATTTTCGTATACAGAGTGTTTATAAAAAATGTTTTAATTATGTGTTACAATTCTCAACTATAAATATTTCAGGTTTTTCAAATAGAACATCCTATATTTTATTACTGCATCCTATTTTATTTTTATTATCTTTTTTTGCTAATTATTTTCAATTATACTGCTATTTTTTACTTTTTTAAAGGACACATCACCATATTAGAATAATAAGGATAAAAAATAGAGTAATAAAATCCAGGGTGTTCCATTTGAAAAAAAAAAAATATATCGAATAACAACATGAAATTTAGAAAGTTTTAGATTTCTTTATAAACACTCTGTATATTAAAATTTAATTTAGTTGATGTTGATACCACAACACAGCGCGTACCTTTATTTATCCTTCCACAAAATATTGTAAGGCATATTGGCCCCCATAAATTAAGAATCCAGAATCCAAAAGGCATATTTTAAAGAGAAGCCTATCGCGTTTTTTTTTTTGTGAACCCTTTCACTGCCAAAAAATTTCAAGAACATTGGAATAACGTGCAACGACACATCGAAATTTCAAAAGTAAACTCTGTGGTTGTAAAGGCTAAGAAAAGGTCAATCAAAATATATAAAGATATTGTTACGTTGATCGGGTATTAAAATCGGCGTGAGTTAAACTCAACAATTTATTTCTCAATAACTCAAATTACACAGCGATTATGTACAAAAAAATTCTGGCGCAACTTGACTGGACTCTGTCTTCGCTCAACTCGACTTGTTAACTAAATAATAATCCTCGATCCCGACGTTGGCCTCTATTTAAACCCATGTAACATATTTAAACCCATACGTTCCTCTCGATGAATCGAGAACGTCGCTTCGAGGTTTTTCTGAGTTGCCCATCGCGACTTCCGCTTCCAAGCTCTTTGTTAGCGGACGCCACCCGACCGATGAGTCATCATCGCCGTACATGCTAAAACCCATAGGCGTCGTACCGGGGCGGCGTATGGGTTTATTTCGTAATAATATATGGGGTTTCATTAAAAACAAATTCTAAGAATTAATGAATTATCGAAGACCCGCCCGCTTAGAGACTCACCTTGTATATTTAGAACAGTCAAAACACAGGAAAAACTAATTCAGTTATTCTTTCGCAAATAAAGACCACTTGAAAATGATCAATTTTAAGAGGTTGTTGGATATTCAAAAATAACTCCGTTAAATCCACTATTGTTATTACAACACTTATATTATCTGATTATTCTGGCAAAAATTTGATGTTACGTCATGCTCATCATATATCAATATTTTAAATCTTCTTTTGCATATGTAGGTTACCGTAAAAAAAAAAAAAATAAAAACTATACAATGAAATTTTGCCGTGTATGTTGGAACCTACAATTCGATTTTTTTGAAGGTCTATATTGAAGAAATACAGCTTTTTCGAAAAATTATAAAATGAATTTTGCAAATTAATTTGTTTTATGAAAACCCCTATAAGTTAAAATAAAGATATGTGTGGACTATCACAGTACAGCATGCTATGCTTAAGTGAGATGTTCCATAACAAAATTTTGCGATGACGTCGTCAACATTTTAGCATATCAATTTAAATAGGTGTAGAATAATACTAATATTAACAGTATTGTACACTCAAATGTTGTGGAAAATGGGATGAGCCGTTGTTGATTAATTTGACCAATAAAATTATATATTATTATATCCGAAAATTAGTTGAAGACATTTTCTTGTAGATTTCGATATCCAGAAGTAGTTTTTTGGCTTCGTTTTTTCGGAAATTCCATCGTTTTTCCAGAATCGCTTATTGAAATACGGCAATTTTTACGATTTTTTAAAAATTTCGCTTGCAATCCGAATTTTTGGGAAAATTTGTAATCCGCCACTATGAACACGCAATATTTCTAGAGTCAGCAGGTCACGAAGTACGTTCCTGAATTTTTTGAGAATTTTTCGACAACTTTTCAATTTTTCAATACATTTTAGACCATTTTTCGAGCGTTTTCGCGAACTATTTAACACATTCTCTTGTAGATTTCGACATCTAGAAGTCATTTTTGGCCTCGTTTCTTCGAAAATTTCTACCGTTGTTCCAAAATCGCAATTTTTACAGTTCCAGTAACAAATAGTATATAACAAAAAATTTACGATTAGCGCTTTTTTTTCACATCTTAGATTCTATTAGATTCCACCCCCACTACATAGAAGAACATAACTAGCCCTGCCCACCCACCCTGACTTCATTTCAGTGATCAATTTTATCATTTAGCATTTTATGATTGACT